CACGTGGAAGAAAGGCTGAACCCTGTGAGGAAGGTTCTTCAGAGGTCAACAGCTGCTTTGATAGCAAACGGAAACTCTTCACAGATGCAGATTCCTCGGAGTCTGAAACACATGCAGATGCGCCGGACAGTGAAATACCAGACAGCAATCCGGCTAGCCTTTCGTACTCTGATGAGAGTGATTATAAGTTCAGAGATATTTCCGATGTAAGCTCCGAGTTGTCTGAAGAAGACCCAACATGTGATGACAAGCCAAGACATGCCATGAAGGCCATTAATGTCGGATGTTCATGTGAAAAACCAAGAATGTCAAGAAATGAATGTTACAGGATTGGAACATGTGGCAGGATACACTATTGAGTGGGATAATGTTCAAATCCAGACAACGGCCAGGCATCGTGCCGTGAATGTTCTAATAAATTCAACATGTGAGCATCGACTTTTGCTGCAGGTAACAGAATTTCTTTCAGTGATGAAATTCAGTATGATACTGGTACTATCAAGGCTCAAGATGTTCCACTCAGTAAAATTCTGCCCAGTGTCTGTGAATGAAGTGATTTGAAAGGAAGAAGTTGCCAGGTTGTAGAATGCCTTTTGAAATGTCATCTGCTCTTCCTGAAGAGTGTCAGATGCTCAGCGGCCCAACAGCACATAGATGCTGAAGAAATGAAGCGTAAGAGTGATATTGTGAACCTGGGGGTTGTGGAAGAGGATCCATCAAGTGTTGCTGGTATTAAACACATACATGTACATGTACTAGAGTGTTTACATAGGTTTGTTCCAAAGGATGGTGAATGTGATCAAATGTAACCCATAGTTTACTTGAGTGATGGTCTGTCTGTGGAGGGAATGACTGATGGTAAGCGGGCAAGTGTTGGTGGAGAATCCCCAGAAGATTGTCTTGAGGGCTTGATACAGTACCCTCAGGAATTTCACAGACAGGGCCTTCTTCTGCAAGACTTGATAAACCGCTTCTTTAAGGGTGAGAGTGTAGCCGAACGGGGTACAATGTTTCATCTGAAGCAGGATTTTGGCCACAGATCGGTTAAGAAAAAGGTGATGGAAAATTTCAATCATGCAAAAGACCTGGTAGAGTTTACAACACATGTATGCATATGCACACTGCTGGCGATGGAATGTGGGCATCTCAGTAAGGCAAGTGACACACCAGTAGATTTTCTTTCCACAGAAAATTCATCAGAACAGACAACATGGCTAGAGAATTTAACTCATGATGTGGTTAAGTTTGTATGGCCAGATGTTCCAACCGAAGGGGTATTGCCTGTGGCCAGCAAGAAGGAAGTGAGTTGAAGGATGGAGAACTACTGCAAGGTATCAGTGATGTCACAGAGGATGACAGGAGTCTGAAGTGCAGTGAAAATTCTGGGGAAGGTATGATACGTTGTGCAAATCTGGAGTGTGGTTCATATCATTACAATTGTGTCAAATTGACGATGCACCAGATGAAGACTGATGGTGATCCCCAGAGTGGGAAAGCACGAGTTCTTACATACATTGCATTTGCCACAAGAAGACTGGGAAAGGAAGATATGACTCAGTGCGAGCTCCAAGGTCAGTGCACACAGTATGAATGGTACCACCCAGACTGCAGTGGGGGGGGGGAGAAGACTTGCCACATCACGTTTTGTTGTGTGGGTTATGAAAAAAAGGAGCATGCACATTGCGTGACGATAGCATTTTGGAGTACTCCAAAGCAGTACTACTTGAAGGATTGTGTAATGTATTTTACTGAGATGCCATCTGTGGCCACTGGAAAATCAACCACATTCAATTTCACAATAACAACCATTTCAAGTAATTCAAACTTGCACCCAAATGTTTGTTGGCATTAATGGGTTCTATCCAAGTCGAATTGCTAAAGAAATGACTTCGAACCGAATGGCCAACCTCACAGGCCGAGTCAATGGCAACATTGGTCTAGATCTTGTTAAAGAATTTCTAAATAAGTACTTCAAGGAAATATTGAAGAGGTCAAGGGGCATGTACACAAAGGCTCAGGTGCACAGGTGCTGTCAGGTGCATTTGGCCAATACCTCAATGAAATTTTCATGACATACATGTATGTAACTGCAACGCAAAACAGAGAACCTCAATCCACAAAGTATGACTTGGATGTGCAACAGTTTTGCAAGGCTACAAAGTTGACAGTCTTTTTTACTTTATTCTTGGGCACCAACACAGCTCCTTCAGAAAGTTCACACATTCATTAGTCTTGAATTCACCCGAGAAAATGGGATTGAAGCTTGTGAAACTCAGCAAGTGTATGGATAGGTAGAATGAGTTTGTCAAGTAATCCAACTCCAGTACTTGCAAGACCTGTTAATGTACTTCGTGGGAGTAGTTTGATTATTGGAAACAGCAAGTTTATACATGTACATGTATGTTCATGTCATAAATGCATTTCAGTGTGTAAGAATACATCCCAATCTCAATATGTGACTGGCTGAAGGTACATGCAGTGGGTTGTCACAGATTTTAGTGTTCGACTTGCTAACCCACGTCTACACCTGTAAGGTACATGTAAATGTAAGGTACAGTGTATTCAAGGTAAAACCAAATTGTTTTTTTCTTGTTTTCATATTTCAGCGTACAGGGCGTGCGTACAAGTTTACACTTTTCTTCTGTCACTCTGACTGTTGGATCTTGCACTGGTAAGGACAAGAATTTGGCACAGTGAACAACAGCGAGATCTTTTACATCCGCATTTTACAGTGCACATGTTGTCACAGTTTTGGTCGGGCACATCTGACAACTTTCCCATTTAGGGCAACCACAGTGTGGTTAGAATGGCTTGCCTGATGCAGGGCATCCCTTTTCTTCCAAATTCGGAAACAAGCTTCTTAAATAATTTGTCCGTTGTGATATGTCCCCGTGTAGTGGCTTGCTACAGCAGAGCCTGTCCTGGTTGACCATCTCGTCATCCCTTTCAAGAAAACCAACAGTGTCAACTTTGTTGGAGGTTTCAATAAAGGATAGGAAATAGGACAAACCACCTTCTTCTACACAAATTTCTCGGGAAGATGAATATTTATTACACGTCCAAACGTTCATCAAAGATCATAAAAACAAAGAAATATTAAGAAGAGAGTACCGCAGCAAAACCTTGAAATTCTCACCGAAACTGGCCAATGAGCGATATTCATGTGCATGGACTCGTTTTCCAGATGCTTTTGTAATTGTGTTAAATGACTTCATCGAAACAGCCGTCGGGTACTATTTGCCCACGGGGCCTACAAAGCGCGCCCGCACTGCAGAGATTTCAACCTCGAGATCTCATGTTTACCCTGTTGAATAACGTTCACAAAAATAATTAACCTGTGGGTTGATGTATGTGTATAGGTATTCGCGGCTGTAATGCGAAGACGACCAATTGATCGCAACCAACATTTCACAGACTTCTACAAATTGGAAATCGCCCAAAGTAATACATGTACATCAGCATACTGATGGGGTGAGTAGCCCAGGTTGGACGTTGTCTTCATTTCATTATGACTGACGTTCAGAGTATAAAAGTTGTGTACAAAATGACCACAAATTTGATTCTAATTTGTTCTTGGTTTACCTTATTGAAGAAACTAATTTTTCACGTTTACAAGTTCTTCGTGGCCTTATCTATCCATCTGGGGGGTTTAGGAATTTCAGAACAAACAATGGACTGCAACATCAAGGAAAATAAGTGAAGACAATGTTACTTTTGTAGACGTAATTCATCCGTTCTGCGTGCATGCACTACGCATGCGCGGTTTCTAGTGAAGGTCTGTTGCACGCTCGGGTTCTTGTATGGGTATAAGTTCATCAACGATCTCTCATTAAAGCATGTTTAGTTTGTCAGAGTAGAGTTTTATTGGTTAAAGATGTATAAATACACAATGCTGTAGAGATCTGATTTTTATTAAAATGAAGCAGTAACTATCTAAAAATTTGAGGAATAAAAAAGAGGATAAGATTGCGGGCATGATGAGTGTGACTGAACAGGCGACGAGAGCCTTGCTATACTGATCGGGAACAAATCGTGCTCATGATCGGCCTTTCCATTTTTTGGGGTAAATAAAACATACAATAAGCAGACTGAATTGATAATTAGCAAATCGAAAACGATTTGGATTTTAGAGCAATGGACAGATAGCTGGACTGTGTCGAAGTTTTAAAAATCTCCTCATTCATAATCATACGGATTTTTGGGGGGGGTTGGGGAGATGTTAATACCCTCAGCTTCACAAGAAGTTCTCCATATAAAAAAAAATGTAGTCGGTATAACTTTGAAACTGGGGCAAATCAACAGATATGAGAAAATAGCTAGCAACAGAAGCCAAAGCCTTGCTGGATTATACCCTCTCCCCTTGACACAGGAGTTCCTTAACTCCATCAAATTTTGTGGCTAACTTTTGTTTGTCTATTTAAAGTCCACTTAATAACACATAATACAAGTTAAAAAATGGCCAGGATTTGAACAAATCATGAATTTTAGCTTTTCCTTAAGCCTTACTGGCCGTAGTAGACTCAGCTTGCATGCAGGTACATGTAACTACAGTGTAGACCAACCGTCACCAGCGTGTATGCGTCTTGGAATCTCGTACGCCTAATACATGTAGTCCACCGGAGCTAATGGGGTGAGTAATCCATTAACAGAAAAGGGGTTTCACAGAGGGCATTTTCGCTGAAGCCTAGATTATGACTGGCCCCGAGTCTGGGGTTAATGTGGTATCACTATCAGCAATACGGCTTATGCATACATCATCATGTACATGTGTAGGCCTACACAGTACATGTACATCACTAGTACATGTATATCCGGCATGTCCGGAAATTGGTCAAGATAAATTTAGCAAACGATTGTTATTTCTACTAATACAACTGGGATCATTCTAAATCGAACACTAGTATCCAAAATGAACACTTAATGGATACTCACCATCACTTTATTTACATGTTGGCAACACAGAATGCATAGTCATAAACATACAACAGAATTGAACTTACCGCCGTGCTGTACGTGTGACGCCGTGCAAAACATGACTGTACGTAATGTATTGGTACCCGCCGCTGGGCAATAACCAAACGCTTTTTAATACTAATTACGTAAGTAACCAGCGACAGGTACAGCAGTCGCTAGCTAGAGCTCATGACCATTTGTCTAGTTCCCAGACCGAATTGTTCTGATATGACATGGAATCAGCCTAATTGGTTTGCGCTTGCAACTAGCCACTTTCCACATGAATGTGTACATACATTTACAGTACACATAAACCTGCCGGCCGCAGCCACTTCATTTGGACACCTACGACACGGGGCAGGATTAAAGTTTAATACAGAGCAAAGATGGTTTAAACTAAAAGTTTCAGAGAAGTTTTTGATACAAAAAAGTCCCACTTTTAAAAATTGTTTGAAGATTTAGGCAGTAGTTTGTATTTCATATGCTTAAAAGTTAATTAATTTGGACACTTTTGTTGACAGAATACTTATTTTATTAGTATAATATGGGATAGAGGTTGCAGATTGAATAGTAAAATTCAAAGCTTTGAGATTAAAGTGAGCACATTTGCACGCACGGCCGGGTACGAGTTGTTTTGTCTACCGACGCATGGTACTGCGCACCGTGGCAAATTTTAGGCGCGTGAATATCCTAATTTTGAATGTAATCGTTTGCTTTCAGTTTCCAACCTTGACAGGTTAGTTTCTCCCTTTGGCTCCCCAAACTGACACCGTACGGCTGCAGGTAGTTATGGTTGTCACAGAGTGACAGGCAGGACGGCTATGTTGACAGTTCATGCTGTTGAGAAAAGTTCGGTGACTGGCGTTACATCTGCGCCAGTGTATGTGTGTGTTTTGGTAGGACTCATTTCAACAGGCCACACTCGCTAGACGTTGCCCAGCACAACTAGCACTGGAGCAGACGATAGCTACTTGCTAGCTCTAGCCTGCTTCAACCTAGGACTGTCGAGTTCGCTGGTCGGTGAGTACATTAGACTGTACCTCTCGTCAGTTCAGTCATGTCAGTCCTTACTTTAAGTTTTAGGATCCTGCCGTACCATAACGTATGTGTTGCTTGAACTTCAATAAGTTGGTAAGATTAGAATTTGGCATTTTCTAGCAACGTATTCCCGACCAATTCTGTTGTGTGAGGACTCCCTGGGGCTGCAAAGGTAATTAGCTACTGCTATGGACAGACAGCTCCAGAAGTTTAGATTTAGCGATACAAAAACGTAGAAAGGTGTCTTATAAGTAAGGATTAACTTTGGGTATGAGTTAGGGGTCTGCTTTCGAGCAAATGCTACTCGACTTGAGGCCATGCTCGATTATTTCACTTGATATGTTGGTCTGCTCAGAACCATTCACCCAGCATTTGATATTTGGCTACAGGGCTGCTGATAATTTTTTGGGGAAATTACCCATCTATTGCATGGGAAATGAAAGTCCAGCAGTGTAGGCAGTGGACAATAATTTCTTTTCTACAGTGGGCATAAAGCAAGAAATTTCATATATCACGAGGCTAACACTTCATGATATTTTTCAGAATTTCTTGTATATTTATAATTCTGTTTTGATAAGTAGGTCTTTTTCATTACTCGGTTCAAATTCTGCCAGACCCTCAGACTATCAACCCATTGGCTATAAGTTAGCAGCACGTTGGCCTATGGTCTTTTTCAAGTCACTGTACATTGTATGATGAGATTGGGGGCTGTGCCAGGTGTTGTCGGATCCTTGTCAAAATAGAGGGCGCACTTCAACATTAGCAGTCTCCCTGAAATGGACTGTTCATAGTGCAGATTTTCGAAATGTACAATGAATGAATGAATTCCCCCTAAAGTAATGAGACGTATTTGCAGTTCTAGTTCTTCGAACTTGACACTTGCTATATTTTCCTCAAAAGTAAAATGTATTGACTTTCCCTTTGGTTTTCTTGTTTACTGCTTTCCGGGGTAATTTCTACCTATTAGGCCTACCCACATTATAGAGGTTGAACGTTTCCAGCACTATATACATCAGGATATTCTCACCGTTATATCTGACAATGTAAACTCTTGCAAGAGGCCTACTTTCGACAGTAACCATGCATGTGTTAGTCTGTAAAGGAGTAAACTATACTTCAACCTATGAGAGCCAGGCTTCTCCAGACTATCCCACAACAAGCCGGATTGTGGTTGATTCCGCCCCCTCCCCACTGGCAAAGAACTCGATGGTCCCATGCCTACGCAGCCCATTTGTTTTAAAACTTTGACAAAGACACTCCTTCTGAGATCATCTGTGAAGTTACAAGTTAATTCAACATACGATTTTCTTGCTAAGTACGGCCACTTGAAATTCATTGTCTCACGCATGTGCTGAGCCTTCGAGTGCATTGAGCGAGAACGATGTGTCAGATTTTGACAAAATTTTGTCAAAATGACTGATAGACACTATTAGAAAGCTCCCAAGAGCTCCGTCGTAGTGAATAAATGCATTGCGACCATATCGGAAAAAATGTTCAGACCTGACCTCCGCCGGCTCTGTTAGGGTTACGCCTCTTTATTTTCACGTTTTCAAAGAGTTTGAGGGAGTAGGCAATATTCCAACCTAACACGAGTTGACGCTGTTGTACCGATGTCATGGAGTTTGGCTTAGTGGTGTACATGTACACTGGTTTCTTTTCCAGGATGCAAAATTTAGATGCACCTTTGTTTTTAAACAAGCATTTTTGGTTTGGCCATGCCCTTTCCTAAATAGGCATTTACAAAATACCAAATTCAATTTCGTACTCAAAGTAATTGTTTAGATTTTTTATAATTATTTTAAAAGTGATTCGATCATGAAGACCTAGTACGTGCGCTTGTTTTTGAATGGCTTTAATTTTGAAAATCGAAGTACCGTGAAAATATAATACACGGTGTGATTTTTATAGAAAATTGTGTCATGTCACGACCCTGTGGGTAGTTCTTGATTAAAAAGGGTTACTCAGTATAACTCCCTCTAACATCTGGTTCGCGTAATTTGCGCTTAATTTATCGACTCTGAATAACACCATCGGAGCTGTAGGCATACGTGACATAGATTTTCAGCAGCGGGGTGTGAAGCACCCGTTCGTTCAACCCTACCTCTCCATGGCCTCCCATACTAAGGGTAACCCCTTTGACCCCACGATCTGAGCATGTCTTCAACAGTCGGTTGACCCAAATGCCCGTTCAGGATATGAACCCACTTCCCCATGAGCCCAAGTCGCATACCACATGGCCGGCATGTTTTGCGCATGATTTCTGTTTCAACCTGAAAATAGATTTCCTGACGGTCTGTCATCTCCACCTTTAAGAAACGGGTACGGGGTCAACAGATGGAGGGTTTGCAGGTCCTTTAATTGGGTGGGGCATAATGGATCGACCTATTCATGACTGATGCCTGATGGTCTAACAGCTCCCCCCCTTGAAAATCGTTCCGCTGCCGGTGTCCATGATCCTCTTTTCTAACCTCAGTCCTTCCCTTTTACAGTAGCCTACGTTTTCTCGACATACGATCCTGACTAAGTGATGGGCCGCTATAAAATTATGTTTAAAAAGTATAGCATTTATCCAAATAGGGCCAGTAAGAGCCAGTTTTCGTTTGGGGTGTTTGTTTGTTTGTTTGTTTGTTTGTTTGTTTGTTTGTTTGTTGGGGTGTTGGGGTTGTTTGTTTGTTTGTTTGTTGGGGTGTTTGTTTGTTTGTTGGGGTGTTGGGGGGGTTGTTTGTTTGTTTGTTTGTTGGTGTGTTGGGGTTGTTTGTTTGTTTGTTTGTTTGTTTGTTTGTTTTGAACATGTGTTTTTATACATGCAGTTGCCGCGACAATGAGTTGAAGCCGGGGTAACTGTTGACTCTTTGCCGTCACTTGTTAACAGTCACGGTGAAGGTCGTTCGTTTACTGTTACTTTGAAGAAGTCAAATGTCTAGCATCGTAAGCGAAAGATGCCCCTTTGCGGCAATCTGCAAACTTTCTTTGGGGAGAGTTATAACTGAATCTAATTAGTGCTTGGAAATTGACGGTCATCCTCAATTTTCCTCAGTCCCTGTATGGTTCATTTTCAAGTCACCGGTGACTTATCTGAAGGTCAAGTCAGCGTCATTGTGAATCAAAGAAAAGCAAATCATTAGGATTTCCACTTTTACCCCAGTATTGCACAAGCCAAGTCAGAGTTCTGTATAATTATTTCTGACCATCCGACTGCCCGGTTCCTCGTACGATGGTTCTTTCCTGGAAGTTGTCAATTCAGATCGCAGTAAATTTCATCGAGGCAATTTATGTATGTCCATAGCCGGCCGTGAGTAATGACGACCAGGCACGGGAAAACGTTGCCTCGTGTTGATTACGATCACAGCTTCCTCTGAATCACAGACTACTGATTGTAACTACCCTCTTGCCCGCGTCCCGTACAGTCGAGTTTAAAAGACGCCGCAATATTATACTTCTCCCTCAGCACATGGAGGAAGGCTCCATGCTCAGCATCACTGAGCGCGGTTGTGCACAGGACTTACTTTGTAGGATTTTTTTTTTGTTTTGGGTGCCTGGCTGGGAACCTAAAGTCGCCTGAGGCGTGGCGACGCTTGGTCATGGAAGTTATCAAAACTCCTGGTTCTGTAAAATTAGGTCTAGGCCTACATGTAAACTTGTTCCTACGTTTTACAGATTTGAAGAGATAGAACTGGTCTACAGTGGGATCTTCACTACTTTAAACAATAACAACAACTTTAAGAAATATGCAAACGGCATTTTATAACCCAATGGTAACTGTGAGTTCCATAGCTGTGCTTGCCAGTGTTTTGAGTTCAATATGACTGGATAGTTTGAATTCGGTCTACACTTTCAAGAAAACGGCCTGAGCATGTACATCAATCAACTCGGTAACTGTTTTCGACAGACAAACAATCATTTGGGTTTATCACTGCCACGTGCATGGTAGTCCATAAAAAATTGAGGTCCCTTAAGGAGTCCCTTCCTTAAAACGCCACGAGGCCTTTCGTTTAGGTTGGAACCGCCTTCAGCCGGGCAAAACAAACCGCTTTATCGGCAGCTCAGCGGGAGGAACCCGCTGATGATCGAGTTGAGCGGTCCCTGAAGTTTTTACCTGCCGACATAATATGACTTACCGACGCGGAGCACAAAAGGAAGAGGCTAAGTCGCAATGTCTGGCTACCTTCTTCCGAGGCCCGGAAACCTGTCAAGAACTCCAAATATTTTTAACTGGATTGAATCCATATGACTCCACTTGAGTAGGGGCATGTATAGTTTCCGGCCTTAAGCTTCATTGCCAATAATTTGGAATCCAACCCTAGAGATTTGGGGAAATAGACATTCTACATTGCGTTAAATTGTACTGTCCTCTGTGATGTGGATTAG